CGCGTCTCGCCATGTCTCGTCTCGCTCACTGTTTCGCTTTGTTATTTTGTTTGATTGACAGTTCTTAACTAAAGTTATTATTATCGCGTGACGTCAGTCTACGACATAATTAAATGCATGATAACACGTCGTATTCCGACAAAAAAGTCGCCTATTCACACACTGCCAAAGACTTTGTGAGTTTATAGTCTGTTCCCACGACGGTTATAGTGTATCCTGCGCATCAGCGGTAGTTTTAGCAGCTTTGACTAAAGTCCTGTTTACACTACAAGCCTTGGTAAATGTGCCGCGTTTACACGCTTACATTATTTTTTTGAGACTGGCTGAATTTGGTGTAGAATTTTGTAATTAATTTTGTGTATTTATATGTGTTGCCCGTTGTCCGCTCGTCTGATAATATCTCACTGTGCCCTGTGGACACACGTTGCCATAAAAACAAGGCCTGGGCCGTAAATGTTTACATTCCCACAAGCGTAAGCCATGCCTAGGCCACCGGTTGTAGTTGCCCAGATTTCCTGGCTATAGGTCAGGCCAAGGCTAGGCCAAAGTCTGTTTACACTTTACACTGCCAAAATGTAGGCCAAGGCCAGGCGAAGGTTTGTAGTGTAAACACGACTTCAAGAGAGAAATAAAAACATATTATATTGATATACGATGTCATTGCGTGGTTTTTGAAAACGAAGCAACGACATATATATAGCATATTATACTATATACATGTGTGAAGGTTTTTTAATTTAAGAAACAAACAACAATATGCTATATACATGCGTGAAGGTTTCTTAATTTAAGAAACAAACAACAACATATTATATTGCTATATGATATATTGCGGAGTTCTTAAGAACGAAGCAACAACATATTGTTATATTATTGATATAAGAAATGTCTATTGACTTGCATATTATTTTTCCATTGGATGCAGTTGATCTCTTGAGAAGGAAGCGACAACATATTATATTGATATATTGCGTGTAGGTTTCTTAATTTAAGAAAGAAAGAACAACATATTATATTGCTATATGATATATTGCGTTAGTTCTTAAGAACGAAGCAACAACATTATATATTATATTTATTTATTCATATAAGGATCTTCCCGTTCCCGTGTTATGTACGCATGCATGGTCCCATGAGAACGAAGCAAAATTATGTTGATATAGTGCGTGAGTTAATTCTTGACTTAAGAACGAAGCAACAATATATTATATTATTGATATAAGGATCTTCCCATTCCCGTGCCATGTATGTGGTCTCTTGAGAACGAAGGAAAATTATATTGATATATTGCGCGTCTCTTGAGAACAAAGGAACGTTTCTTAAGCGAACGTTCACAACATATTATATTGATATATTGCGTGATTTCTTAAGAACGAAGCACTTACAACATATTATATCATGATTGATATAAGGATCTTTCCTTTCCGCGTTATATAAATGTGGTCTCTTGAGAACGAAGCAACAACATATTATATTGATATATTGCGTGTATGTTTCTTAATTTAAGAAAGAAACAACAACATATTATTTATTCTGTGTTTGAATAAATTAGACCATATAGGCTCAGTACAAAAAGATTATTTTAATAACTACGTTTCGGAGTATAACTCCATCTTCAGGTTAAAAAGTAACTAAAGATATAAAACTTTAAAAACAATTACAAATTTAGACAAAATCCGTTAGGATTGCGTATAATAGCTGACGTGCGCTTCAAACTAATTCGTGTCCGTGCGCGCGCTTAATTTCCCCCCCCCCCCCATGGCGTGTCCGTGAGAGCGTTAAAATTTCGTGTCCGTGCCTGCATATGTAATTACATTAAACTATATACAAAATCCCTTAACTTTCGTGGAGTGGTACATACTTCAAGCAACTACGAGGATTGGCAATGGGGAACCGGTTGGCACCTATACTGGCCATCCTTTACATGGACAGAATAGAAAATCAAGCTATATATGCCGATACGAGTCTCTCCACCAAACCCTACCACCGGTATATCGACGATTGCATTACAACAGCACAGGATAACAACGAAGCGAGATCGATACAGGAAATCCTAAATGCACAAGACCCTTCCATTAAATTCGAGATCGAGTTGCCGGACGAAGAGGGCTACCTACCATTCCTCAACACCAAACTTCGAGTAAAACCTGATGGCACTTTGGACACGGCATGGTACACGAAACAAGCAAACAAAGGGATAATGATTCATGCATTATCTCACCATCCGAAATCAATGAAGATTGGAGCTATTGAAAACACACTGAAAACGATTTCGTTGATTTCGTCCGATAATAACCTTAAAGCAACAGCTGAGAGCGAACTCAGAAATCGCACCATCCGAAATGGCTATGCAGCAGAAACCATCACAACTGGCAGCCTAAGGACATGCAAAACAAAGAAATCATCAAATACACCAAATCCAGATGCTTGCTTGGTAATCCCGTTTATTTCGGAAGAATTTACTGCGGACGTCAGAAGAACTATCAGGAAAAAAGGCTTAAACATCAGAGTGATACAGCGCCCGGGAAAGTCGCTTAGAAGCATGCTCGTCCAATCCCGTCCGTATGATAACCATTGCCGAACTGGTCCGAAATGTAAGTTTTGTCAAGTTTGCGACAAGAAGAATATGTGCTTCCGGAAGGATTTGGTCTACTCCATAAAGTGCGGTTTATGTGACAAGAACCATGGAATTTACGTGGGAGAAACCAGCCGACCATTCGCTGTGAGGTTCAATGAACATCTTCGCTCTGCGAGAAATCCCGATGCGAAATCTTACCAACATATGGCATTCTCGAAACATTACAAACAGTTACACCCGGGTCAATCGCCTAAGCTTATTCCATCGATGTTGAAGAAAACAAAAGGAACATTGGAAAGAAAAGTCACGGAGGCATTCTACATTGAAAGAATGCAACCTGACCTGAACTCAAAGGATGAGCTGCAGGAAGTTAAGGGATTTTGTATATAGTTTAATGTAATTACATATGCAGGCACGGACACGAAATTTTAACGCTCTCACGGACACGCCATGGGGGAAAAAAATTAAGCGCGCGCACGGACACGAATTAGTTTGAAGCGCACGTCAGCTATTATACGCAATCCTAACGGATTTTGTCTAAATTTGTAATTGTTTTTAAAGTTTTATATCTTTAGTTACTTTTTAACCTGAAGATGGAGTTATACTCCGAAACGTAGTTATTAAAATAATCTTTTTGTACTGAGCCTATATGGTCTAATTTATTCAAACACAGAATTACTAAAATGCGGCTTAGAGAAAGTTCCGTCATACAATATTATTTATTGCTATATGATATATTGCGTGAGTTTTTAAGAACGAAGCAATAACATATTGTTATATTATCGATATAAGAAAAGTCTATTGACTACCATATTATTTTCCCATTGGACCAATTGACAGGTAATTTTCCAATGGAAAGGCTAATTTGTCCATTGGATCCAATGGACAGGTAAAATTCCATTGGACAATAATTGGTCCATTGGATCCATTGGATCCATTGGACCATTGGAACATCTCTCTGGTTTCATAATCATGTCCACATGGAGTCTTGCAACCTGTTAATTACGTAATGGTAAAAACGCGGAAGCTCTTATCCGGTTGATGCATTATTCCGATCGGCAAACTTCACATGGTCTCTTATTCGGTGATGCATAGTTCCGATAGTTGATCCATTGCTGGCCAATGGACATTCCATTTGTCCATTGGATCCAATGGACACGCAAAAGTCCAATGGAAAATTGGAGGTCCATTTGATCCATTTGACAAATGGAATGTCCAATGGCCTTTTGATTATTCCATTGGACATCTTGCATAGGTATTGGACATGTATGCTCCAGAAATAGAAAGTCTCTCCATTATTCTTAATCTAGAGGAAGCTCCACTATGAAAGTGACATACAGCAGATGCCACCGCACAACCTTAATACCATGGTGACACTACACTTCTCTTCATCACACACTTTCGACACTCTTTTGAGAGGGCATGGTAGTCTAGAACTTCCCCTGTATCCAATGCAATAACAAAAACTACTCCCATTAAGGATGCAAATCTCTGCTTCGCCCAAGTCTTGTCAAAAGAAACAGCTATATCCATAACAGTGTCATCATTAGCTTGCTCTCTATTTTCTTTTGAGATGAAGTCCTGAACCCTTTGACCTGCCAGTTGCATTTCTTCTTGGGCTTCTGCTTCCACGGCCACAAGAATCGTATCAACCATTTTGTGGTAAGATGGTAATGACAAGCATGGCATGTTCATGATCTACTACAAAAGGTAACAAGCCCTTCATAACCACTTCCTGTTTCCAGAGAATGGTACACTGCCCGTCGGTTCACATCATATGACTTCCCTCTTTACGAAACTGACAACAATGTTGGTAACAACTGGTGTACTCTCAGAGCATATGTTGCACTTAATGGTGAGGTCAGACATAAGACCATTTCTTGCACTGCTATCATTGCTCAGAATCAAATGGCCTAGTATACAGAAATAATTAAATGAAAACTGGTGTGAAATACTAAATATATAAAACATAATTGTGCTGTGGGTAAGTCCACTTTGCTAGCCAATATAATGTTTATATATGGGAAAAGTTTGTGTTGAAAAACATGGAGAAATAAAATTTACCATCAAACAAATTGAAAAAAGTAATGAAGGAAAAAATATTTATGGTAATCAAGGGAACAGTATACACAATCCAGGTTAGTCATCTTACCTCCCTCACAAACATGTGTTTCAGTTGAAAGAGTGAAGCTAATTTTGCAACATTTACAAGCCTATATCCTTCAACAGGGTCGTCTATCCCACCATCAGAGTTGTCCGATGAACTACTTGAAATAGTTCGACGTTTTAATTTGGCCCTAGAAGCACTCAAATCCAAAGGTTGATCAATCTCTGAACTGGTTGATGGTTGTGTCACCGACGATTCACCTTCATTTATTAGTACATTTTCTTGTGTCTTCGTTTTGTTTGTATATCCTTGAAGTCCAGTAAACTGCCTTCCTTTCTTCGACTTTCTGTGAACAGATCTTTTCTTTTTTCCAGGCACGAAATGTGAAAAACTTTGTCTCAATAATACCAGCAATAATATTATAAAATTTACAAGCTCATGAATAATTTTTAGATGTATCCCATCAGGTCCTGCGGCCCCACCAAACAAGTCTAAAACGTCATGTTATACACTGTGTAAGTGCTAGTTTATATTGCTCACAGTTTTGTTGGTCAAAAAGATGCAAAAAACAATGAAAATGGATAAAAAAAAATTCCCGTTACCATGGTAACTAGTACATGAATTTTAGCATGGTTGTTCAAATGCTAAAAAGATGCAAAATCCGGGCAGATTTCACAGAAAAAGTATTAAAACAAGATTCTACGATAATTGAAGTAGACTATTTTTCAAAAAAACAAAAATTGATATTTTTTATATAGTTTAGGTTAAGTCCCCCCTTAAGGACCTTAAGAGTTCTATTTCCTTAAAAGTGTCTTTAAAAGGTCAAAATTTCCTCAGTTTCAGGTTTTCAAGTTTCCTTTAAAATGAGAACCCTGCAACCGAGACTGAATTGCGTCGCCAATAGGCAGCCTATTTTGCGCGATTTCTTCTGTAGTTCTGTATTTTGCGAAATGGCGACGCAATATATTGCGCGCCTTCACGAGAAAGACCCTGGGAACCAGCCTAGACCTAGGCCTTCTAGTCTTACTTATATTTTTTTAATATTCAGCGCTTTTTCACATGAAAAGACTGGGACTAGGTGATTTGGGGGCGGGGCGGAGGAAGCAAGCCCAGAAGGCCTAGTTGATTTCCCAACAACAAGGCCAAAACTGCCCTGAAACTGCCCTGGTTGCGAAATGCCCAATTATTGCGTTCTCAAACAGAATTATTTGCAACTTAACGGCGAATTTAAACCGATACAGGTAAAATAAACTCATTTATAGTATAAACTTACTATTTTTATTTGTATACACGTCTAGAAAATCGGTTTTTATCATAAAAGTTCGAAGCAACACTATTATTTAATATGTTGACAAGGTGTAGCGAAAGAACAAAATGAGTCAAAATATATACCAAAAGTAGAATCTTTCATGAAATTTTGTCTTATACACAAGTACATTAATATATATTTTCTCAATTTTGGCAAGAAGCAGTCTTGCGTTTGTAAAATATACAAAATAAAACGGATACATATATTATTAGCCCGTACAGTACTGTATATAAAAACGTACATTGTTTATACAAATGGTATATCTGTAATATTTGAACACTAATTTCAAATTCCTCATTCCTAATTCGCAAATATAGTTATTCAAAGCAAAACAGTAGATTGTCTTGCGAATAAAAGAATTATTATTTTGTGCCGTTTCGCTACACCTTGTCAACATATATAAATAGTGTTGTTTCAAACTTTATGATAAAAAACCCGATTTTCTAGACGTGTATACAAATAAAAATAGCAAGTTTATACTATAAATGAGTTTATTTTACCTGTATCGGTTTAAATTCGCTGTTAAGTTGCAAATAATTCTGTTTGAGAACGCAACAATTGGGCATTTCGCAATCAGGGCAGTTTCAGGGCAGTTTTAGCCTTGTTGTTGGGAAATCCACTAGGCCTTCTACATTTTCGCTTGCGTCAGGCTTGTGTCCTTCCTCCGCCCCGCCCCCAAATTACCTAGTCCCAGTCTTTTCATGTGAAAAAGCGCTGAATATTAAAAAAATATAAATAAAAATAGAAGGCCTAGGCACAAAATAAATAATAAGACCAGAAGTCTCACTCGATGTCGGAATCTTTGATGTTGATGTCCCCGCGCATGTCGCCTCGCGCATCTTGGCCGTGTCTCGTTTCCAGTGCCCTAAACAAGTGTAATTTGACAAATTTACATGTAAACATTAAGGAGTGAGGAAGTTAAAACGATACCAGTCGAGTTTTAGAGCTTTGGTGACCATTTTAAAAGAATATATGATAAATTCAAAGGTAAGTCTATCGTATTGCATTGTCTTAAATGAATTCTCAGCTAAAATACGGCAATAAATGGATCATAAACTTAGCTAAATTTACTGTTGACAACAAGGTTGACAGATCCATTGCTTTTTTGCCTTGAATAGCTTTACCATAGTCATTTTACCTTAAAATGTAGCTACTGAGGATATCTCTAAGAGATTTACACAGATTATTTGCACAATCTCACGATTTAATCATGCTGATAACATGAAAATCCTTGTGCCATTGTATACTTGGCATAATCTCCACATCAATAGTTCACCAGTTCAACACTTATAAGTTATAAATTCAATATATTTTTTAACCAGTCCATATATTATTATACACAATGTAGTATAGTTAATTTGACCATTGAGAAGTAAGGGGTGTATTACATTACACAGACACTGCTGAATTTTAGGTTACATGCCATTGGATTGATATATAAAAACATTTGTACTAAAAACACACATTATCTTGTTGATAGAATAGTTATTTGCAGTATACTAACTGTTGGCATACTCTATTTCAGGCCTATCAGCCTATCAATTGTTTTTGTCACTGGCAATCTTTGAAATACAATCTTGCTCTGTGGCCTTTACTGACAAGTTGGCTTTTAATACATATGTGGCACTGACACACCTTTAATTAATGCACCAGTCAATGTAAACCCCCCAACCGGGGAGGGGCAGGGATTTTAACTTGGAGGGGTAGTAAAAGAGCAAAATTGTCCCACCCCCAGGGACATCAATGTCCCCTGCATGTCTCTCAACTGCGGGAAAATAGTTTTGTATAATCATAGATCAGCAATAGAAAATCAAATTCATTTATGTTGTTGTATTTAAACTTTTCTTGTCAAGAAAACTAAAACAGCAACACAGGATATATATGTTAACTACTGTCCAAGTCTCCCATCATCGGGGACAAATTTATAATCAAAACTGACCACTTTCCCCGTTAAACCTTCCACCCCTCCCCGGTTGGGGGCAGGGATTTACATTGACTGGTGCATAACTAGATGATTGCATGAAGAATTGCATGGAAGTTGATTTATAATTAGTTTATGAATAAACTCACACTTGCATTATAATGGTTGATCAAATATATCATATGCATTTGATTGGTTGATGGTCCCTTAATGGTAATGGTAGTCAAATCTGAACCTATATAATGTCAATATACTGGAAAAGTATGAAATTAGGTTTTAATTGTCAATGTTGTGGAAAGTAAATAAATCAAACAATTCTGTGTGTTTCAACTAACTAGTTCACTATCACTTTGGTTTTGAAATCAAAGAATCTTTAACCTGGTTGAGCTTTTGAAAAAGTAGCTGATTGATTGAACGCAAGATTATTTTACTCTGTCTAACGCCAGACAATTTCACTCGTCAAGGGGAAAGTGCTGCCACTCAGTGAACCCAATCAGAGCTCAATGAGCAGCAGCACTCTCCCTCGATAAGTAAAATCATCTGGCATTAGATGAAGTGAAATAAACTAGTAAAGTAGGGTGCATTGGGGCACAATGCAGCTTACTGGGTTAACTGGAAAATATATTTATTAAACAATACACACCCTATACTTGTATTTCAATTCACAGCATGATTTGGTATGCTTATGTCTATTTGACCCAAGTATCTGACAGGAATGATATTTGAATCACACCTGTATTCATTGAACAAAGCTAATTTAAATGTACATTAATTGTACATGAACCATGTAAATGTAAAAACTAGCTTGAGCAAAAACACACCCACACAGCTTCGTTTTTTATTTTTCTTGACAAGGAATAACTGAGTTACAATGAGACTAGTATCAACAATTTCAAAAAGGTATTGTACAAAAATATTACAAACATAAGACACTTTAAAGACAGAAAAAAAAACACGAAGTATGTCACTACAGAAACTGTATTCTGTGATATAGATGATATTGCTTTAAAGAAACTTGCAGCTTTTAGCAGTTGTCTAAGGGCCTGTTTATATCAAAACGGGCTGGCTCGCTAGGTGAGACAGCCCGGTAAGTGAAGATCTAGCTGTCTAGTTATTTTTATAGTAAAAATTATCATTTCTGTGGACAAGCGGGCAGGCCTGGTTGCCAAGACCTGGATGGAAATTTCTCCACATAAACAATCATAAGCAGGTAATGATGCGTAAAATTATAAACGGCTTTAGACGGTGCTGGGACCCTCCCTGGTTAACCCTGCATGCATGTGGACAGGGGGGGGTTCGACATTCCCCTCCACTGGGGGCGTGTGAATTTCAGATCAATTGACTGTCAGTATTATGTATTGGCTGGTATGTGAGGCAATTAATATTATTAATTGGGCCCAACCCTCCCAAAACCAGGCAGAATCACAGGTGCAATGCATGCATATTTCCACGAGAGGAATATTGGAATTGTTTAATCTAATTAATCTCTTAATTCTTTCATTCATTCATCTCTAATTAATTGAGATCTAATTGATCCATTTCAGACTGATCATGATTCGAATTGGACACATGGGCCGCCCTGGTCCTTTCAATTGGAGAGCTGCCCTCCCTGCCGCTGCTGGTACCACTGAATTTTTATTAGCATATATTGGCCGCAACTTCAACATGTATCTCTGAATGCCTTCAACTCCTCGTCCCAAAGCGACTTTGCTGGGCTGCCGGATGATGTCTTGTCGCGAAGGGTATGTGTCACATACAGGGGCTTTCCATTATTTTCTGGCCACACCCTAAGGAGTAATATTAATTGCCTTGCATACAAGCCAATACATGCACGGTCACAAACTGCTTCCTACATAGATATGTCATTTAGAGAGCGACTTTTTTTAGGCACAAGTTGGAATCATATTTTCAAGTTCATTTCAAATCTATACCTGCATGACTTTTACACGAGGGGCCCAGAGACGCCGCTCGTGATATAGATTTGAAATGAACTATATAGTTGTATATGTAAGTCAGTGTCGCTAATTATACCAAAAAATCTGTTTGTCTGTTAGAAAAAAAAAGTCGAAGACATCCTAGAAGGCTAACCCTGATTTTGACACTATTTATTTGGGTTAAACACTGATTTCTAGTTACAGTAATATATACATAAAAAATTCATTTTTTTAATTTCCATTGTGGTTTTCTGTTGCTTTGTAAATTCTGTTGCAGACGGGCATGACGTGAAGAAATTGCCGTTACTTAAGGCAGAGACGACTGATTTAATAGGCAAGTTGTCATCTCGTGGCAAATCGGCAACTGCTTCCTTAAACTTACTCTCTTCATCTGCAGTCATTTTCCTTCGACTACGCATTGTTGCAAATTATTTGCTTGGTGATTGAAGTGATGGTGGTATTGAACACGATGGCGATGATAAATTTGACTTGTTCGCATTTGTAGTGACGGTTGAATTGACTGGTGTACATGCATATTCCACTGGTTCGTCCGACTGTTGTTCCATGTTGGTATGGACTTGATTTTTGATAAATTTATACGCATTAATTGTGTCTTCAGTTCTGTCCTGAAGTGCATAATATGTATCTGAAGTTGATGTGTGTCATTGCATTAGCTAGATGCCCACATTCTATATTCGCATTGCATTTGCGAGAAAGTTCCTGCTGTGCGGTCACTACAGTCTTGTGAATAATTGTCGCTGTAAAATTGACATTTGAATTGGGACAAAGATGTGTAGCAATGTTGTTTACTCAAGTCGTAACTTCATTACCAACCAATTGTAGGCCTGACGTTGCGAGAAAGAAATAATTTTCGATTTGTGTTCTCTGTGATGAAGACGTTGCGAAGATATCTGAGATAAAGACAGCCCATGTCAAAGTCGGTTTACTCCAAACTAATGGTGCTGGTCCATTGCTAGATGTTTTATGTTGCCAGGTGTGTGTTACTATTAGGGAATACTCTTCACCGTTATCACAAATTTCGGCTCCACGGAATTCATCCACTGTGAGGTTTGCAATGGCGCAGGGTCGCTGCGCGTTTCTGAGTTGAAGTGATAAAATTAGGTAATCTCTGAATTCTATATAAATCTTTTCCGTGATAACAGAGTCGGCCGATAGTTGAAGGAAATCATTGCGAATTCGCAAAGACTTGTCACAGTTCAAAACCCTTTGGTATGCTTCCGGTGTAATCAACGATTGTTTATCGTGCAATTGCAGTTTGTGCGCCCTACGACGATTGTCTTTGTTGATAATTTTCGCCCAATTTTTTATATTTACTAGTGTTGCATCGATTTCGTTTATGTCTTGTTGTTCCATTGTCATCAACACCTCAGCGATAAAGAATATGACTTGGCGAATTTGAGAAATGAAGTATACAAAGATAAATAATGAGAGAGCGTACCCGGCTGTTTCGGTATTTGTCTGAGGTGGTTACCTTTGAAAAATCGCTGTCTGATCATGGCAACAGACTCCGGTCTCCACAGCAGAGAGCAGTCATTGACATATCCGTCAACCTGGTATAGAAGTCTAGTGACATTGCTCACTTCTTCCTTGGAATAAGTTTTTCATCCGCCATCGAATGACGTCATGTAGTTTTTAAAGAGGCTAAATATTTTGTTTTTCTTTATTTTGCCTTCTAATTCCCCTTTTATGATTTATATCGAAGAGTGCTGCGCATTCGTTTCCGTTTTTCTCGAATAATATGCTTCAGCTCTGAATTCCCAGTGATCCGGGGCGGAGAGCACTGCCTGGAAGTAGCAGACAAAAGGAATATATATAAATAGGATTAATCTAAACTCATTTCCTCACTGACCTCTACATGATTTAGGCAAACAAATGCGTGCGAATAATTTGCTGACGTCTGATGCCGGCCTTTGCTCGTTTCGATATGTGAACAATGACAACTAATTAGAACTTTGTAGCGCAGAGAAACAAGCTACAATTCAGTCGCGTCTTATACAAAATGGAAGATATAGTGACAGTAGAAAATATAGACAAACAGGTTGCAGCTGTGGTCGAAGCAATTCTACCGCTTGTGGAGAATGAGGTATGTATGAGGAGTGCCAAACGCAAAAAAAGAGTTGTTGTTATCCATTTCGCCCGTGGGAACTTCGTCAAAGCCTAACAGAAAACCCTGACATGTACAAGGAATTTCGTCCCATCCTTAACGCACCGGCAGACCCAGCAGCTTCGTGGAAGCCTAAACAGCGCGCACCACCAGTCGAAGCCGACAACGAATGGCCGGACAGTCAAGATAATGATTTGTTCTTCTTTCGCATGGTCAAGTGTCCGCTGCGCATGGAAACTCTCTGTTTTCGGGCGAAAAGCACCATACCAAACGCTGGATATGGCTTGTTCCTGAAACGGCACAAGCTCGTCGAACATGGAACTCATCTTTGCTTGTATTCCGAACAACCGCTCACACCGGAAGAATTGGCACAGTCTCAGAGCTCGAACATGTACATGCCGGAAACAAGTAAAGGCACGTACAATGCTGAAGATGCGACCGGCAATAACCTTGGTAGATATGCAAACCAACCAAATGTCCTCCCTGCTCTACAACACATCAAAGAAATGTCGACAAAACCTCGGCTGAGTATGAATGAAAACGACTGGAAAGCAATCGAAGCTCAGATAGATTCCACTTGCAATGCTGAGTACAAAGTTGTCAGAAAACAGCTTGTCGTTGTCGCTAAGATTGACCTGCAAGAAAGTGTCAACTCGGAAGAAATCTTTACCAACTACGGAAGCATGAGGGATTATTGGATAGCGGCAGAGCGAGAGAAACCAGGTTGCTTTGGTGGTGAAATATCGAGCATTGTCAGATTTCTCCTTAACTCTCCCGATTGTAACTGGACTGAGGCGCAACGTGCCACCTGGGGAAGCAAATGAAAAATTTTCTGTGAAACATTTCATGCAGTTCTAAGTGCGCAGTCATATACTTTTCCCAACCATGCTTTGCAACTGTTGGCTCTGTTGATTAATTGACATTCTCACAATTTGCAAGTTTTTTTGCAAATGAACTTTTTACTGGATTGCAGTTATAAATTTGAAGTAAAACGAGACATTTTTAGTGTGGGTTAATTATCACCATGCTTTCCAACTGTTGGCTCTGCTGATCAATTGACATTCTCACAATTTGCAAGTTTTTTTGCAAGTGAACTTTTTACTGGATTCCAGTTATAAATTTGCAGTGAAACGAGACATTTTCAGTGTGGGTTAATTATCACCATGCTTTCCAACTGTTGGAAAGCATGGTGACATTCTCATTCTGTAAGTTGTTTTTTTTAACGAGCTTTGAAATTCAAATACTTTTTTAAGAAATGGAAGCTTTCTGATTTGGACATGAATTTCTGGACATACAATGATTATTTGTTGAAAAACAAAGACTATCCGACTTGAATAAAACAATACCTAAAGAATTTTTTAAGTTTTTAAAAACTTACTTCTGACACCTGTTGCTGTGGCAACAATGACGTTTCAATATGGTGGATAAGTTGGGTTTAAAGTAATGTAACTTGAAAATAAAGTTGGTGACCCCCATTTTATTTTCTATAGCATAATGATTTTAAAAAATATGTCATGCCAAAGTTTTTCAAGATCGGAAAATGTAATAATTCGTAATAATTTTCTTTCGCATTACAGAATTTTTTTAAAATCATAAAAATTATTCAAAATACTAATAATATAAACGACTTTGTTCGTTCACTGCAACCAGGTATATCAATCATGTTTCGCTCGCTACTCTGGTTTAAATAAATGATTACAAAGCCCAGTCGAATTGTAATCAAGACCCAACGTTTCGACACTCCAGTCTAGTGTCTTCATCAGGGGTGATCTAAAACTTCATCAGGGGTGATCTAAAACTTCATCAGGGGTGATCTAAAACTTCATCAGGGGTGATCATGAAGATTCGTATTGCTAAATATCGTAGTCATTTGTATTTCAATCATCGGTGCAAGGAAAACAAAGTTTTACCGTTCAGCTTGCAATTCAAACCTCCAATGCGGAGTAAAAAGGGATACAAGCTAATGGAAAATACTGGTTTTTCTTTCCTGAGGTTGCGTATAAACGATTGTCATCAGTCTATACAGCGTCTGTGCTCTGATTGTCAATGTTTACTCTGTGAGCTTTCTGATTTGATCGACTGCTCTGAAGTCCTATGGATCGAAGAGTTTTGTCGTTCGTAATTTCGCAAAGAGTCGATCAAACAGAGAGAGAAGCATGACAAAAAATTGCTGCGTCTGATTGGAACGAAACCATCTGATAAATCTGGTTCGAATCTTAAGAAGAGATGGGTTAAAAACCTCTCATCTAAAGAGCTAAGTGAGTTGGAAAGGAAGGGTCTTGAACACGGCCTAAAATTTGCGGTTGTACCTAACAGCCGAAATCATTGCTTCAGTGGAAGAAGGAATTTTTCCGCTAGACGATGATGCTAAGCGATTGATAAGAGCTGAGGTCAGTAGCATTCTTAGACGTGCCAAAATACCTCCAAAAAACATTGATTCGAATGTTTTCAAAGCTTTACTTGCTCTTAAAAAAGATCCGGACAGGGTTATTCTTTCAGCGGACAAAGGCAATTGCGTTGTTGTTATGGACAAACATGATTATCGCGAGAAGGCTCTTTCACTATTGAATAACAGAAATACGTATTCTATTCTCAATGCTGATCCTACTGGAAAGACTCAAAGAGGTTTAAACGCCAAGTTACTTCTTTTGAAGAAATCCAATATTATCAGCAAGACTACATATGAAAAGTTATACAGCAGTGATGGACTATCTCCGCGTTTCTATGGCTTACCGAAAATCCATAAACCGGAAATTCCATTGAGACCTATTGTGTCCTTTGTGAATTCTCCTACATATGGAAGTTTCAAGTTTTTTGGCGAAAATTTTGTCCCCTGTGGTGGGAAATACCGAAAACACGGTCAAAAATTCCTGTCATTTTGCAGAATTTGTAAGAGGTAAAACTCTTAAAGCAGATCAAGTGTTGGTATCATTTGATGTCGTTTCCTTGTTTACAAATATCCCAGTTGATCTTGCCATCAAGGTTGCGGCAAAAAGACTAAGACAGGATGCCACTTTGTTACAAAGAACATCCTTGCCTGTAGAAGATATTATTGATCTTCTGTCTTTTTGTCTCAACGCCACATACTTTGTGTTTGAGGGCTGTTATTATCAACAGGTTTTTGGAACAGCGATGGGGTCACCAGTTTCGGCAGTAATTGCTAATTTAGTAATGGAAGATGTCGAACAAAGAGCTTTAGCCTCTGTTCCGGTGTCCCTATCGTTTTGGAAACGTTTCGTCGATGATGTCATCTCTGCGGTTTCTACAAATGAGATCGATATTCTGCTGCAACATTTAAATTCTATTGAGCCGTCCATCCAATTCACGGTAGAACGTGAGATAAATGGACATTTAGCTTTTTTAGATTTGAATGTACATAGAACTGTCAAAGGGAATTTAGAGACTGATGTTTATCGCAAACCCACACACACAGACAAATACTTGTCATACGACTCTCATCACCCAGTAAGCCATAAAAGATCCGTAGCAAAAACTTTGCTTCAAAGAGCTGAATCGTTGCCGTCAAACAGTGATTCTCAAGCTAATGAACGTGAATATGTCCTAAATGTTTTAGGGGAAAACAATTACCCAAAGCGTTTTCTTAATGATTGCCTGAGGCCACCTGTTTGTAGGAACCAAACTAACTCCGAGGGTGATACCTCTGTTAAGGGTTTTGCAATAGTTCCATACATTCAAGGTGTCACAGAGCCAATCAAGAGAATCCTAAGTAATTGTAATATTAAGGTTGCCTTAAAACCCTATTTGACTTTAGGCCATATTTTCGCAAAGCCAAAAGATCCTGTTGAAAAAAATCAGAAGACTCATGCTATATATTCTATACCATGCGGTGACTGCGACAAAGAGTATTTGGGTCAGTCTAAACGCCAGTTTGGTACACAGCTAAAAGAACATCAAAAGGCTGTTTCAACTTTAGACAAGGGAAAATCAGCTTTAGCCGAACATGTATGTTACACCAAACACTAAAGTAATTACCACAAACAATCGCTATGGTCAAAGACTTTGCCTAGAAGCGTGGCATATAAATATGAGTCATCATGCTTTAAATAGGGATGACGGCGCCTATTTGCCAGAGGAATATATGCATCTTCTTGGCAGGTGACGTCATCCCTTGGGTATTTAAGAAGCCACGATCACAGTTTTAGATCACCCCTGATGAAGACACTAGACTGGAGTGTCGAAACGTTGGGTCTTGATTACAATTCGACTGGGCTTTGTAATCATTTATTTAAACCAGAGTAGCAAGCGAAACATGAATAAACGACTTCTTTTTATGAAATAAAAATGGGGTTAACCAACCTTATCTTCAAGTTAAATTACTTTAAACCCAAAATGTCAGCCATATTGGATTGTAAATGTTGCCATAACAATGGTAGTTACGATTCCTTTTGGTGGAAAAATACAACTCTCTAGTTATTATTTGGCTAGTCAGACTTTCTTTGTCTTTTAACAAATAGGAACTTTTGAAAAATTGGGTCTAAATCGGAGATCTTCCATTTTCTAGTAAACCTTAAGTTAAGTGGTGTTTTAGTTTTTGTAAATATGAACACAAAAGAAGCTGAACAAAGACTTCATATGTTGACACTTATTATATCAGTTGACATTACACATAGATAACGATACAAGTTGTAATCAATGTAATTATGAACACAATATTATACCATTGGCATTTCAAGTTATTGTCTGTTTTTACTTATGCAATATTTTTGCCATTAACACTGTTTAAGTGACAATGTGCCCTACTTTATCTTTTACTTTATCTATAATGCCAGACTATTCTACTGATGAAGGGGAAATTGCTGCCATTTAATCACTCAAAGATCAAATGTTGTACAAGGCCTGAAACCGAATTTAGCCAATTGAGTGCCAGCGCTCTCCCCTTGACAAGTAAAATCATCTGGCATTAGAGAACAAAATAATAAAGTAGGCTGATGTAGGACACCGAATGCAACTTGATGGTATAGGGGATAAACAGTGGATACACAAGCTAGCACATGAGACTTCTTGATGTGGGCTAACTCGCCAAAGCTATAAATAGTATAATTTAATATATAAAGTATAGTGCTTTATAGAGATTTTGAGCACTGATAAACACTTTTGCATGCAAAAATTATCGCTTTTCAACAGTCAACAGGAAAAATACACGGATGCTTGGAAATACAGTACCAGATTTATTTCTCGTGTTGAACATGATATCTCACTCGTTCGCTGCGTGCACTATCATGTTAAACAATCGAAATAAATCTGGTGTTTCTGTGCACCCATGTATTATTCTCTATATAAATAGATTTTCTCATGGCTATACATTTGTTTTGCAAGGGACGATTAAGGTCTAAATACAAAAATAATTAGGTATTGGCATTACAGTTAATTAGTGATTATAATTATACATATTATATGAGTAAAATCATCTGGCAGTAATAAAAGTTGGGTGAAATGTCCCTCAAGCCTCAGCTTTCGGGTACGTTTAATCACTAATAAACCTGAATACCATGCTTTTACTGATAAGAATCATTCACAAAGACCTTTCAATAATTTAATATGATCAAACTATATTTGCTTGCCATGTGGTTTTGTCTGCCAAGCAGGAAAATGTAAACAAATATCAAATTAAGAACACTAAACTAAAGAGGTTTTTCACGTTTTCTAAATGAAACTCAAACGATGCCAGCTTACCAGTTAGTTGGAACTGATTCCAATCCGTTTATAGTTCTGCACAACTTCACATAAAAAGAAATTTCGAATGTATTTATTAAAAGCCTTTCTCCAGCAAATTTTAGCAGATGCCGCGGGCTGACTGCCTGCA